CTGTATAAGTAGTATTGTGTAATGAACTCAAACCATTGTGTATTTAACTCAAATTTTGCTACAGTAGGCTGTGTTCTTAAGTATGGGTCATCTGTAACTTGGGCGTTCTTAACCCGAGGACAAGACCTTTCAATGCACAACAAGGACAAGCTTCAAGAATCCTAAAAAAATTAAATTAAATTACTAACCCAGAGGCCAACACTTCCCCAGATAGCAGTTACATTCGCACAACACACCTATAGTTTGAATAATTCAGTTTTTTGGATTACCCACACAGTAAGGACATGAACAGAGTTTGCACGATACGCAGATTTAACCTGTGTGGTATTAGCAGTTGAACTTGAGAAATTGGGATTTTCAGGATGATTCTGTGCTATTGACTGAGTTCCCGCATTATGCTAAATCATAGCTTGTTTTAACCATAGTTCATTGAATAAATTATAACAGTTGGGCTAACACATGACATACTAAGGTAAAACAATGACTTGCAATCAATGTCTAGGTTGGTACGTTAAAGTAAATCAAGTGGCTTTAGACAAATTGCACACAGTTAGCTATTCTCACAGTCTGGCAAAGCTGTTGAGCAGATAAAACAACACAGAAGGATGAAGCATGAATGCCACCTTGAATTGCTTGGAGAAAGGTTGGGAAATAAATGTTAAGAAATGCAAAAGGTTCTCAGGTGAGGAAGGAGAGAAAGTATTTCTCTCCTTCCTCCATGGTTAGCCCTGGAGGGGGGAAAAACATTTTTTAAATACGGGAGATCCTAGAAACTGAGGAATGGGATGCAGAAATGCAGGAAACAATATCCCTGCAAAGAGCAGAAACTGGGTTTGGCAAAGCAAGGAATTACCAAAAGAGAAAAAAAAACATGTCACTTTTCAAAACAACAGGGCTAAAGTACCCTGATAGGAAAATCTTGTGGCTCCTTACCCCTCCCAGGATGAGTTTAATTTTAAGATCTCTTGGCAGACACCGCCGGCAACATTTGCTCAGATCCACTCATCTTTGCATTTTCCCGGCTTTCTTGGAAAAAGCTGGCATCAGTTCCTGGGGAGGAAGACGGAAAAAGAAGAGGAAAGAACCACGACGTATCTTTGGAACAGCGCTGGAGGAAATGCCCGTACCTGAATTTCAGCTGCCAACTCAACCCAAACTCTCAGAAATTCAATCTTTGTCCTGCAGGGTGTGCACACTCATTTGCAGTGCTGGGACGGAGGGGGGGGGGATTAACTCACCATTGACTCACCTTCCTGAAACAAATCCCAGGTAGCTAACTTGAGATCAAATGAAGCGGATTGTCGGGGTCATAGGTTACCTTGCCCTGAGCTGTTTTTTCCCTGCGTCAGCATAATGCTTTTTTGTACACTTCACTCCTTTGGGATGGTACCTATTTTGATTCACTTTGGGTCTTTTAGGCTGCAATTACGGTTAGAGAAGGGGGTGTTATTGTTCCTGGCAGGTTTTGCCACCTGTTATTCTCAGCCTTTCACTTAGCTTTGTACGGAAGGAAAGGCCGATGTACCAAGAAGAGGCTCTTCCGCTGGGCCTTAACTGTCTTTAAGTCCAGAGGATTTTTTAAATTAAAAAAAGGGCTGCATTACTGGAAAAGCAACAGAGAAAACAAGCAGCCAAGTCTGGTTTTGTTTTTTTCTCATCCATGTGGAATTTATCCCCTAAAGTACTTTGTGTATTAGTCACAGCATTTCAATTGTCAGTATTGTTACAGGAGACTAACAATGTGTACGTTATTGATAATACAGTTCCTAGAGGAAGTAGAAACTGGATGTGTAACTTTGTCCAGTTCAGAACAGAAAAATCTGGCAGTTCGATAAAGACTCAGTTTTCACATGATAAAACCTTATGTCATAATAAATCATTGAATCTCTAAAATGCCCTAATGCTGTCTCCACAGTCTGCTGTTACACAACCCAATAGGCCATATTTTGCTTAACCATAGTTTATTGAAGTCACCACAAACAGTCCACATTTGCTTAGTGCAATGTATGAAGCAGGCCTGGGTTAAATTTGCAGAAGACAATTGCACAACTGTACCAGAACTTCAATTTCTGGGGCACAGATTCAAGAGAATGAGAGCTTGGGGAACTTCCACGAGACGCCCAGCAATCTTGGTTACCTTAATTCAGTGCTTTGCTGGCTGGGGAATTCTGGGAATTGAAGTCCACACATCTTAAAGTTGCCAAGGTGGAGAAATACTGCCTTAATTGATGGAAAGGATACTGGAAGTTGTAGTTCCAGTGCCTGCAAAGCCAATGGCTGGTAAACTCAGAGGGCAGATCTGGACTTCCCAATTCCTTGTTGTTGGAACCACAGCAAGGTTATCCCATACAATGTAATGAGATACTGTTCAAAAGGCTTTAAAATCAGCAGGAGAAACTCTGGTTTATAATTCCCCAGCGACTGACTTATACTAAAATCAGTCCTCTTTCTTTTGAAATGTTTCAAAGATCATAGCCACAAAGCCAAGCGTTGTAAACGCCACTCCTAGTGAAACGCTAATACAAACACTGACTAGAATGCTCTGAACTGAAATTGAGTAGAAGTATTGTTGGATTATTCAAAGCTAATGTTTATCTTAAAAGGGTTTTTTAAAAAAAAGGTTTGATGAATGCAGAGTGGAAAATGCAACTGTACAATTACCGTTGTTCAAAGAATGAAGCATGGAGAAGGCGGTGGTTGATGAAAAGAATAATCCCAAATTAGCAATCCCTGCAGGAATTTGAGTTAAAACACTCTGTACAGTTAAAGAGTAGAAATTTAGGAAGAACACAACTGAAATTATTAAAAACAACTTGTGTTGTTGAATAAAAACTGAAAAGATGTAGCCAGTAATTCTCATTATTCTACAACTGTTTGGCCTCTTATTTAAAATTCTCAAATTGAAAGTTAGGGCAGAAAAGCATCAAGAAAGTCTGTTAAGAATTATTAACATATTTTAAACAAGAAAGTGAAGTCATAGAAACTATCATCTTCATTTCATCACTCTTAACAGGGTTTTGACCACAGCTGGGCTCACACATTGCACTAAAAAGTAGATTGCTTGGTTTGGTCTTAGTTTGTTGGGTGAATCCAACTTTTGTTCCTTGTACACCATGATTTAAGAGACTGTTGCATAAATCCAGTCATTGTGGCTGGTAAATTAACGACTTATCCTCTTGCTTGAACGTACTCATTGTGATTTGTAATGCAGAGATTATGACAATTGAGCTGATGAAATCATGATTAAACAAATCTTCACTGAATGAACCATGGGAGCCCAGCCAAAGGTAATTTAATTAACAAGCCAAAGGTAAACCCCTGATTTAACCTGAATGCGAGATGTGAACCCAAGTTTAGAAACACCTGCCAGGTTCCAAAAGGTGAAAACAGTAGGCAGCATTGATCTGCTAAGGAAGCACAATAAAATCAGATTCATAGAAATGAATGGCATCTAGCAATAAGATTGAATTTACAGAAGGGAACGGCCTTCATTTGATGGTGGAATAAAATCTAGTTCATGGAAAAGAATGGCCTTCATTTAGTAATGAAATTTAATTTACAGAAAATAGCATTTCTTTGCTAATGAAATGGAATAAAGTCGAATATACAGAAAAAATGGCATTCCTTGATGATGAAATGGAATAAAAACAGATTTATAGAAGAGAATGGAAGCCATGGAGTAAAAAACCTCCCTCAAATTTATTAAATGGATAATGAAATGGAATAAAGTTGATTTTACAATAACAGACCCAATTTATCTAATGGTAAAGCCAAATACAACCAAATTTTCAGAAGAAAAAGGCCTGCCTTTGATGATGAAACGGAACAAAATTGAGTTCATAGCAGAGAAAGGCAATAAATCGAATTTACAGAAGAAAAAGGCATTCATTTCAGGTTGAAAGGGAATAATATCAAATTCAGGTAAGAGAATGGCATTCATGAGATTTTAAACAATCAAATGTACAGATGAGATTTCCATTCACCATGAAATAAAGCTGAATTTACAGGACAGGATCCCTTCCTTCATCTACTGATCGAGGGAAATAAAACTGAATCTACCGAGGAAAAAGGCATTAAACTGATGAGGAAAAGTAGCAAGTTCAGAGAAGAGAAAGGCATTCCTCATTCCTTGAGTAAAAACACCTCCAAAAATGCTATTAATTGGATAATGAAATGGAATAAAGTCAAATTTCCAACAGAAGTCCCGATTATCTAATGGTGAAGCGAAATAAAACTGAATTTACCGAAGAAAAGAGGCATTTGTTCGGAAAAATGGAATAAAAATGAATTCATAGAAGGGCAGTCATGACTTTTTAAAAAGCCAAACGCACAGAAGAGAATGCCATTCATCGCGGAATGAAGTCGAATTTTCAGAAGATCCTATCGTCTAATGGTGAAGCGAAATAACATTGAATTTCCTGAAGAAAAAGGCGTTCTTTCGACAACGACACGGACTGCAATCGAGCGCACAGCGGCCCGAGGCGGACCCGCCCTCCCCCCTGCTGTACGGCCAA